CTCACCATTGCAGTCAAAATTTGGATACTGCCCTTCGATACAGGGTTGCGCACACACACACACCCACACACCCACACACCCACACACCCACACACCCACACACCCACACACCCACACACCCACCCACCCACCCACCCACACACCCACACACCCACACACCCACACACCCACACACCCACACACCCACACACCCACACACCCACACACCCACACACACCCACACACACCCACACACACCCACACCCACACACCCCCCCCCACACACACACACACACCCACACACACACACACACACACACACACACACACACACACACACACACACACACACACACTCTCTATAGAGCAGCTGTAGACTGTGCAGAGTCAGCGTAGACATCATGGCATATCAAGGCTTTGAAGTCGACTTCGTATGACACTCCCTTCCCTGGCCCAGCCAGAATTGAATGCTTTCGGGTCTATGCCTTTGGGTTGTGCTGGCTCGAGCCTCTGGGCAACCTCAAAACCAAGGTGCTCGCATCGCATATATTTCAGGATCCCTGATACTTCCCCCCCAGCCACCACAATCCACTTCCAGCCACCGACCCTGACAGAGACTACTGTCCCGCCATAGTAACCCTGCGGCAAGCTTGGGCAACGTGTTCTCACTGTATTTGCCGAGTGTATATGGCTACCGAACGATAAGCAACAAGGAGCCGCAGCCCAGCCCAGCAAAATGGGCATCAATCTTCCTCTCATGCGTCGTTTCGTCTCACCTCCTCTCCTCTCCCCCCTCCTCTCCTCTCTCCTCCCTCTCCCCCCTCCCTCGCTCTCTCTCTGCCAGGGACGCCTTGTGCGGGCGGAAGCCATGCTGCAGGTCTCCGAGTCGATGGCAAAGGCGGGAGGATGGTGGGGGTGGCTTCAGGCTTCGTGCTCTCTGGGTGTTGCAATCTCGGTGGGCAAGGCAAGAGGTTGCAGTTCAGCGCAGCTTCGATAATCGCAGCTAGGTGCAGTGACCCGAAACCCTATCTCGAAGACCCTAAGCACCATAAAATTCCTTAAGCCCCCAAATTCCTCAAACTTCCTCAGCCCTAAACACCTAACCTCCCTAAGCCCTCAGACAGATTTGTCTCAGACAAGTTTGCTTCCCGACCATTCTCAGACCGGCGTTGCGTTCCTGAAGCCTTTGGTCGCCGCCTGGGCAGCGCTGGTGGACCCCTTGGCTGGGCTTCTTCGGAGTGCTTTATGTACATACGCATCTACTATACGACGCTATATTATGTGCATATATATATATGCAAAAGCGTAAAGTGTGCAAATGACCTGCATATTATTATGTGTAGACATCACGCCTGAAACGGGGTAGTTTTCTGTCATGCTGGATTTGCCGCATGTAGCCTCCTAAATCTTTGTATCTTGCTCTTACAAGCTGTGGTTGTAGAAGGTGGTTCGGCGGAAGAAGGGCAGAACCCAAGCGGCGCGGCAGATGTACGGCGTGAGCTCCGAGACCCTGCGCAAGGCGTCGGAGAGTGATGCTTCTATATGCTTTTGTGCGATTTTGTGGACTCGGGAGGCTGGGGTGTTTGAATCTGGGGTGCAGCTGGGGGAGGTCGCTGACGGGTTTGCCCTCTGGGGCGCCCATGCCTTAGTTTCCCAAGCGCCCAACCCCCTAAGGTTTTAATTTTGCCTATGTGCAGAATACGTCAGGATCAAGCAACGGATGGAATTCCAAGCCGCCGTGCCGAAGCACCCAAAGTACAGGTTGTTAAACTCCTTGTGGTATTAAAGTTGTTGCAGATTCAGGTTTGTCAGTTGCCATCAAGTCCAATCCAGCCTTGCGAGCGAAGTAGACATACAAAGACAGTCAGGCTCTACACGCATTATTGCTTTGAAAGGCGAATGCTTCTCGTCCACAAGCGGCCTTTTTCAGACTGTGAATAACAAGAAGGGTTTCAAGTGTCAAGCCAAAAGTGATCCTGGACAACTCTCCTAAACCTTGGAAGCACACTCGAGGTGTTTCAGGCATGGCAGGAAATCAAGAATGCCGAGTTCGAGAACATCCAGCGCCAGCTCCGCAGGAAGGATGAGGATGGGAGACCCAACTGTTTCCCGAACCTGTCAACGCTACACAGGTGACACGTGCTGCCTTGCTTGTGGTTCTGAGCGGCCATGATTCGCAGATGCTGCCATAGCGAGGACTTCCACGAGCTTCAGTCTTTGTCTTCACGTCTGTACACCTTCTCGAAGCATGCTCCATGGATGCAGACAAGATGAATGAACCCTCTGGCTAGAGCTTCCACATACCACAACCATGGGCTCTGTTATGCCAAGACCTAAATGCTCTAGCATCTACAACGCTTGGAACCCCTGAGATGTGTGTTTATGCATTTCTGAAGATATCAAGATGGCCCTAGATCCATGTATCGCCCAACTAGAACCTACAGCAAAGAACACGCTCCAGAGGCGAGCAGCCGCGTGGAGCACCTCGAATCCGCTCTCCATGCAGCGGAGCACCCAGGGTTCGGGTTTCTTTGTTTCTTCCGGGCCAGGGTGCTGATGCTGATTCCCTACAGGGCTCCGAAGGACCTCATGCACCGGAGTGGCGAAATCAAGCACGAGCGTGAATTCCTCGGTCTTCTTGAG